ACTGTTTACATAGATCCCAGTGTTAGCAGGGACTCACTATTATGGCAATATGAGTATGCATTTGAGCTACCTTTATCATCATATTCATTCGAGACCATTACACAAACAGATCTCTTGCTGGCGTTAAATGCGTAAAGCGATTAGCTCCGATGATAAAACTAGTTTCCTAAAGCCGATCATAATACTGAGCATTATGCCAGTAAACTGTTCACATAGATCACAATGTTATCGACGTTTCGCCGTTATCACTCTCGAATATCCTTGGTTACGTATTGCCGATGCCTCGCGTATTCTTTCTGCTTACCAACAATCCAGACATTTCCTTTCATATGAAGATTCATCCATATTGCATTCTCATTTTTTGAATTGTGATTCAGTGGATCTGTGATCGTTTATTAGGCTTCACGAACGTATGTACTTCTTGAGACGGGAGTACAGTGGAAATTACACGCGGAAAGTTGTACTCCATCATAAATGGTCCAGTTTGAATGGTTTCCACCCGAAATTTTACAGCGAATATGATTTGTTTGAATGGATCAAGCTTAAGCATTCAATGAAGTATTATTTTGCTGTAACACTCATCAAGAAATTTCAATAAGTAGCACCATTCGAATAAATAAATACAATACAATTTTGTAAAATAAATGCTGCTGAAACAACCGAACATTCCTTCTACTCATTGTTTGATATGTAGTAATGGCATTGAGGACATTTTGCAGGGCTGTTAAAATTTTATCGCTCGTTCATTGTTGGATTCGTTGTGTATTTTCTTTAACATTTATTGCTTGATTCGTCGTAAGTTCTCTTGAGTCATATGCTGAGATTTATTTGAGGTTTCAACGTTGAATGCCTTATTTAGAGAGTTAAATAAAAACACAGAATGAACATTATAGTAATTAAGTTTGAATTATGCAAATATCGCATCAACTGTTACGCCATTTGTATAGTCCCATATTCCCATGATGATCAGATCATATTTCGAAACGCTTGTGATCTATCAAAAAAGCACGCACAGGCTACTTAGAACAGATCCTAATGCTACCAACCACGGCCTTGCAGCTACCAAATTTTCTGAACGATAGCACTTTCAATCTGGTTCAAATCATGTTAACTAAATTTTCACTGTAATATCACTACCATCCGATTGATTTTCTTATACTCAGTTGTCTTCAGCACCATCTACAACAATGTTTTTGACTAATATCGGAAAACCTCTTCTTGTCGTATTCATTGCTGGAATTACGATAATAATGATCATGAAGACAGTTGAACCGTCAGTGAGTACGATTTGTATGTTTCAACGGNCAGCTGATAAACCCGACTGTGCTTCAAACAGGATGATTGAGGAAGATAATCGGTTTCAAAAAATGAAACAAATCTACCAACAGCAGGCAATATCCCGCAAATCCATTTTGAACAGCGGTTCTGCTCGCATCACACACGCATTTCTCTCAATCGTCATCGTACCTGAGGTAATATCACCACAAGGGAACACTTTTGAGTGAAGTTCATCTAATGGCAAAAAAACTTGCGATGGCAAACTTCTGCTTGATCGAATAAAATAAAACTTGACATAATGGCATTCTCAAATGTTGTTCGCGAATTGTTCTTTACAATTGTGCATTCACGAACCTTACAACTAATATATAACGCTGACTTCAGACGTATTCAGCCTCTAATTGCAGGTTTCTTGTTCCGGTTTGACGCGCATTGGAGCTTTAGGAGATGGCGGCAAATGGATTTGTTCACCGTATAATCTTGCTGGCGAAGGCTGTGCGATCTTGTCGTTGGGTATAAATAATGAAATAAGTTTCGAGACTGAATTGCAAAGCATCACGGATAATCGCTGCGAATTATACGCCGTTGATAAAGTGAGCAGATGCATGAAGGAAAAATTGCCTCGGAGCAGAAATTCAGTTCAAATCTTTCAGTCTGAGCAAGAGGCCGCAGTTGTGAAGAGACTGGAGTCGATAAACGGAAAATTCATGAAAGGTACACTGGGAGCAGTGCTGAATACGACAGCGAATTTGATTACACTCGATCACGTCATACAAAAATATGGAATTAAATCAATTGAAATATTGAAAATCGATATAGAAGGTTGGTTGTATTGATGGAATTCGACATCAAAAGATACGTTGAGTATGCAAATTTGTGGACGTTGCTGTAGTTTATACATCTATGAACACTGCATTTAACTTGATATGGTGTTTTATTGCAAAGGGCGTAATAGAGCACAGACTGGAATATTCACAATTTCTGGATTGATACCTGAGTGATTTAATGAAGATGACTTTTTTCGCAATGGCATAGTATGATCGTCATGCTTTAGTCTTCAGATGATGGATACCGCTTAGATTCATCCTATTTCAGGTAGCGAGATTGAAGTGATTCCACCGCTGNTGTTAACTGTTAATCGAATAAATGAGATCAAAATGAGGAATAGTTCACTGTTATCGTATTGAACTCAATCTACCAATCAAGCTGGCAGGATCGGACATAGATTACATTGTGTATCATTTCCACTTCCATATGCAGCTTATTTGTTTGAGTAATTAATAATAATCGAAATTCTATGTTAAAAATCGCGATAAGTTTACAGGAAATTGCGAAGCGAGGTTATTACCTGTTTGCGCACGAGGTCAATATGTACGATTCAGATGTATGCGAATACAGTTTCATTCATTCGTCATGCTTAGACAAATACAGTGCCCATCTTCTTGCTAATTACCTGTCCTGAATGAATCCATTTACAGCTGCTCGGCTTCGTTTGTTTTTGTTGTAATCAGCTGAATGTGTCGAACAACGACAATACGAAAAGAAACTGTGAATGTGCAAAGTTGTGGACGTTGTTGTAATTTATACATCTATGAACACTGTATTTAACTCGATATGGTGTTCTATTGGATAAGGCATAATGCAATTTATTTTCGTTTCAATAGAGTTGTACATGCTGCAATAAAAGTGATTTTTATAAAAGGTTTCAACCTAATCGGAAAGCAACACATTTATTTCCCTTAAAAGACGACGTAGTTTTCGAGCAGTTTAGCATGGAGGGCCGTATGACTACTGTACACTTTCTCAGTACCAATTGTGCTTGGACTCGAACTGTTGAGTATGTGTTGTATAGATCGTTGAACGACACAGCGATCAAATGCATGCAAGCACGATGTGAATCGAGCCATCTGCAATGCATGCAATCTTACAGTTCCACGAATGCAGCCATATTTCTGGAATTGTATTTGTCATTATCACCGAGGACTCCATCATCGTTCAGTGGGAATTGCTAGATGCGATCAGAAAGTGAAATTTTAAAACTGTTCGTTCTGAAATGTGGACAACTGTGCGATTTTTTTTTCTGGATCAGTCGTATGACTCTCCGCTGCTTAACTACATCGGCAGAAACGATAAAGCTAACATTAATGTTTCATTTTATGATCGGCAATTTTTATCTAAAAAAAAGCACGAAGCAATTACTTTCCATCTACGTGAGAAAACCGTACAGAGAAAAATATAACTGTGTTGTTGAAGTGTTGAGCACTCCTTATCAATACTTCTACAACAGATAATGGCACGATTAAGGCAACAACTACTTGCCACTCCCATCATAGTTTTAGCATGTGCTTCGGATGATTGAACCCACTCATTGGGTATCATCCCGCTTATCTGCGTTAATTACATGTTCGCTTGTCGCTGTGATTGCAGGTGCTTTTTGGGGAGCTGAATCCCACCCAACAGTCACAGCACATCAGTTCATGCCTATCAACGATCAAGCTCGAAATTTCGAGCATGATCCTTCCCCAACGCTCGCCGAATCGTCAGCTTGTATGCCGAAAGCAATGCTTGCATTCAGTGCAGTCGTTGCACATAGCCAATGATTTTTTTGCAGGTTGAAATGGCGATAGTCGGTCGTTTCTTGCTCGTGTGTTTAGTCGTTGCGAATTTGAAAGTGCTCCATTCAGTCAGTGCCAGCAATGACGAAGATACGATGTATAAGACTGAGTATTTGTCAGCATTCTTTTTTGTCTTTTTCTACCTGACATGAATTTATTCAGATTATTCAGATTCGTTAAGTAACGGAATCACATACTGCAGGGGAAAAGTAACTCATAATGAAACGATAGATCAGGGAATTGATCTGTTCACTCGTGTAGACTGCTGGCCTCAACCAGTTGCGAATTTTACCGAGTTAGAGGAAGCATGCATCCAACGAGGCTGCATCTTTGATGCACACACACATAAGGTTGTTTTCGTCGTTCGTCGTCTCACACAGATATCCATCAGCGGCCTTGTGAATTCCGTAAAATGAGGCAGAAATATGTTGCAAAATCGCATTCAAAGTGACGGCTATATCATAAGATTTTAGCACGTGATCTATGAATGTATAAGTTCATTTGCTGTCATTCCACTTCAGATCTTTTCTGAAAACTGTTATGAATGCTATACAGAACTTCTCCATCATATATTTCGCATTCATATTCATAAAATACCGCCAATTGATTTATTGTTATCGCTTCATTGACTTTTTAGGAAATGCCTTCAGCGCCTCCGTGTTATTTCCCTATAAACACCGGATATGCGTTGATGAAAACGAATAATGAGTCGAACGACATGTTCTTTGTCTATAAGAACGGAACGTTCCAAAATCCGTATGGAGCTGATCTTGCGTTTTTGGAATTTTCCTACGCAAAATACGCACATACGTTGCATATTCGAATTGGCCAAACTGGAAGGTAGTTGTTTCATTCCGAACGATGATCTGTCCATAGATTAACTACTGAGGGATTTTTTCTTGAATAGTGCCGAAGCTAAGATTGGATTTGTACAGATAAAGTTGAGCGAACATCTTTATCAACACGTATGATAAAGATGAGCGATCAGCGCAACACTGGACAGGAAATTTTGTATTTACCAGATAAGGACAGGTGGAAAACGCTGATCGCTTCGTGATTAGATTTGAGATAAGGGGCGTCTCTGATACACGTCAGCATTCTGTGACAACTGCATGGAATGCCTACTGTAAACGTTCGCAAACAGACGTTGATCAGANGATCAGAAAAAAACTCATTTCGGTCACCGACTGAAGCATCTCAAATAGGCGTTGACCAGCTACGATATCTTTAAATTGACAGCAATTACTGCAGAGTATCAACATGCTATGATACTCTGCAGTAATTGCTGTCAATTTAATGATATCGTAGTTCACCGCGTCCAACATACGAGAATTTTCCAGGTATGAGCCACCAATCGAATTCCACACAACTGCAGACGTCCCATCGAATCTCGATTTGCATATCGATAATAGTTCGGATATGTTCGCGTTCAAGGTGTCCAGAAGCAACGGGTCAACGCCTATTTGGGATACTTCAATCGGTAGGTTTTACGTTTAGGACAGTCTGTACCACGTACTCATTGGAGACTTATTTCTTCGCGATGTTGCGTTTTAGCCATTCAAAAACGCGAGTCAATTGAGCTCTTATGTGAACGTTCAGGCTGAAGCAAATCATATTGAAGCAAATAATGAACCATAACATTCTGACTGAAGGGAATGTGGGACCTGTTCCACAGGTGTGGTCTATTGAATCTTTATCTTTCCAGGTTCTTTCCTGTTCTCTGATCAATACATACAAATTGCGACCTTCTTACCATCTGATCGGGTCTTCGGTTTCGGAGAGCATGCACATAGTTCCCTGAAAGTGAGTCCCTTATTCTCAGTCATTTCGGATTGACATCAGTTCTGATGTATTCGCGAGAAAAGTAAAATTTTCTGGAGACAGGAGGATAATATAGCATTACTGTTTGCATCTTTTTGCAGCATGACCTCTCACGCTACACAACATGGGGAATGTTGGCGAGAGATGAGATGCCTGAATACAGTGAGAGGCCTCTTAAGAACTTATACGGAGTACATCCATTCTACTTGTGTGTTGAGTCGGACTTCAGTGCTCATGGCGTTTTTTTCGCTAATTCAGCGCCTCAGGTTACACGACTTGATCTTCTGGTTGCACATTTCGATCGCATTTTTCAGTTACACCTCTGATCCGATCACTCTTAAATTAAGCCATGTTATTGTGATCATAATATGAAGAGAGCACATTGTTCCATTTGGAAGTATTGTTATCCTTTTAGTATCTATTATCCTGTTTCTCGGAATGTCACATCTGTGAGACACCGTTCAAATTCAAACGTCCTCGAAGGGAAGCTATGAAAAAGAGAATTAGCTTTCATTTTGAAGCTATCAGAACAATCTTTTCACTCATATAAATGCTCCACACGAAATCATCAACAATGTCAATGCTAAAATTTCCAACTATCATCCAATTTTGTAGGAGGTAACCCTTGGGCCAGGACCGCATTTGGTTTATAGAACAATCGGAGGCAACCTCGATATTTACATTTTCGAAGGACCAACTCCGCAAATGGTCATCGAGCAATATCTGCAGCTTGTAGGAATGCCGTTGTTGCCACCACTGTGGTCCCTGGGATTCCAGGTTTGAGCCAAACACTGCAAATTGATCTGACAATCAAAAAAAATTGTGAAGTAGTTTTAAAAACCACTACAGACGGAATACAGTGATGGCTGCAGCGAACTGAGCAGTTGGAGTATTCTCATCGCATCAGTATTCTTATCTTATTGCTTATTGCGCATTCAAAAGTTTATACGAGCGACTGAAAAACCACTAATTCCATAATGTTAAGTTGAATGTGTGAATAGAATGTGCATGCAAAAACGAAAACTTCTCTTGCAAATCACGATCCAGACATTTCAAAGTGAGCCTGGATTGTACTGCTGTTGTTGAGATTGGGCGTAATGGTTACGCAAGTGCGAACGAATTGGACCAAGTTGTTAGGCAGACGGAATCACGTGGAATTTTATTCAATGTTATCAATATAAACACGGACTATATGCACGATTTCAATGATTTCACACTCAATAATGTACGTCTTTTTTGGAAAGCAATAATTCAGCACCAAAGTAACCGTTTGATATCCAAAAAGATTTGTTGGTTCAGTGCAGATACTGGAAGACCACTCATCCGGCAATATACGCCCACAAAAACAAAACCTCTTGTAATTGTCTGTGAGTGCTTTAGGATTGGAAGCAACTGACAAATATAACGCAAAAGTGGCACGAACAAGGCTATAAGCTTACAATATTCATCAATACTGGCATTTCCGTCAAGAATCCGTGGTTCAAGGATGCCATTGACAACGTATTCACTTTTGAATTCATTTAAATTAAACGAATGAATTGCAAAATTGGGGAACTCGAGTCGGGTAACTGCAAAAACCGCATAGTTACACTTTTTCGGTAGCATATTGAACGTGTCAAAAGCAGATATCGTCCACTGGGCTTAGGTTATCGCAATCACCCTGATTTGCACTCCTTTTTCGTAGTGAGATTACTGATGACGAAAAAGAATACTTACACCTATGAATAATTTGTCAGAGTGTAAAGCAGGGGTCGCAAGTTAGTTTGACAGCGGGCCGAAACTTCTCCGAGCAAATGGCTGGCGACTGACCGGCGGACCAACATGTTTTCTTAATTGTTTTTTCAAACATGTTTTTCCCTTATCTGTAGGCTTAGCCTTGTCGCAAGAACCGTGAAGTAGTCCAAGCAAAGTAGCTCCACAACGACGTGCGCTGGTTAATTAAAGGCCAAGCGCTGGAGCGCTTCTGGGCACTGATGGATGAGGTCAAGTCCTTCCTAAGCCTATGCAAGAGTCGAATTGCAAACGACCACCTTGCCTTTCTACAGGATGAAATATCCATGTCCAGTGTGGCATTTCTGACTGATATTTTTCGTCATCTGAACCAGCTTAACCTTCGACTGCAAGGGAAAGGCGAAACCATCGTGGACATGGTTGAAAAGCTTGAATCGTTTACCAAGAAACTGGAGTTGTTATAGTCAGACATAACAATTGGCAGGCTCCTGCACTTCACTACACTGAAATCACAGGCACGGGGACAAGCGACTGATATAATGGTGGATTTCATCAAACAGCTACAGGCCAACTTCAAGTCCAGATTTGACGACTACTCCATCTGGAGGGACATCATCGCTTTTCTTCGTGACCCTCTCGCTGTCCGAAATGCGGATATATCCTCCCTGGCTAAAGAAACCATCCCCTCGTTAGATGAGGCCGCATTTCAGTTGAAGCTTATTGATTTCCAAGCAGCCTCTGTTGTCAGTGATGCGCTCAAGAAAGCAGAATCCGTGCATGATTTTTGAATAATATGCTCAGATGAATATAGATGGATCAAGAAAATGTATGTGTCGGCGACACACTTTTAGCCGGCCAGAAATTTTCGACATAGAAAATTCTATGTCGAAAATTATCAGTGTAACTCGAAGCCTCTTTTAGCCCTTCAAAAACAATTTCTCGAATTCATCTAGTGGGCCAAAAAGTTTTGTCGGCAGGCCGGGGGTTGCCGATCCCTGGTGTAAAGGGTTCGGTTTCCAATTTGCGCTCATTGTTCCATCAATATACATACACACATCATCTTAATGCACTTATCGTCAACAATTAAATTTCATTCAGAATGTCAGTTTCATTGAATGGCCAACAGAAGATTTAGTACCAACCGAAACGAACTCATTGTATGCAGAAACCAATGGAACAAAGGTACTTGTTTGCCTTTGCTCAAGTTCGTCTTCCTTCATCGATCTTCATTTGTTTATCGATCTATAAAATGCTTGCGAATCATAGTTCAGTATGTTTTTAAGCATATTTTGACACAATAAACATAAACATTTCAGTTGATGCTTGGCATTGGCCTACCAAACGATCACGTTGCATACCTTGATTTTCTTGATGACACAACAAGAACGCGTGAGTGGTGGTCTAATAGATTACGTCTTTTTCATCGAACTGTAAGCTTTGACATCACCAATTATTTGCGATTTTCGTTGTGGTCATAGTTGAACGACATACATCTACATTTGCATCGAATGACTGAAAGTGTCGCCGATTATCATGCACATCATAATACATGTGCTGTCCGCTTCAAAGAGAAACGTTGCTTTCTGTCAAGTCGGCACCACTCAAAATGGCAAACCATCGATGCGTCGTATGCATGCACGATAAAAAGCAGCTTTAGATATCAGACCGTCGTGATCAACCAAGACTACTCACTCGGGCTTGATGTGCCGAGTGATCGCACCCATTGCTTAAAAATTTTTTCTCCAGAGCATAGTTGATTTTGAGAATAGTTTTGCTTGTGAACTGATCCAAGATTGGCTGGTAAAAAAATCACGTGGAATGTTGACTCTGATAGCACTTTCATGCATTGCTCAGAGTGTAAGCAGTGCAACCTTAGTTCAATGGTATTTTGTGGTTGACTGCTTTTAAGGTAGCCTTCGATGGTGTTTGGTTAAGTGGTGATGAACCAACGAGCTTCGGAACAAACCAACAAAATCCATGGTACTTTAACGACTCGGCACATCATGCGAAAATTGTACCGTTGAAATGCCCACTCAGTGGAACGTATTCTAAATATGACAATCCACCGTTCAAAACTGCCAATCCTTACTATTATGGCGATGAAGTGAGCTCCTCATTAAATGAATTTTCGCTTTAGCAAGGCCTCTCAAAGCAGAGGGGAGAACGGTGGGTACTTTGCGTGCCCCGAAGGGAATCATCCGCGAACAAATGGGCATCTTCTCATTCTGGTGTAGAGCGCCATTGCGTTCAGTTGATAAGTTATCCGGTGAATGGGGCAGTCGAAGTTACATAGGAGCATTTTTCTGACTCTATTTCAACTAAACAAATTGTTATGTACCACTCTTCGGATCATAGCGAGAACCAATGCGAGGATTTTTGTTTTCATTATCAGGAATACTGGATTACGCTAGTTTCAAAT